CTCACGGCTGGGCAATGGGTTGGTCTGATCCAGCCGCGGCTGCACCCAGCACCCCGGGCGCAGGCTGCAGCGGTTCCACGAGTGCCACCCTGCAGGGACACCTCCCCGAGCCCCCCGGGACGAGCAGCCCTGGCCTTGGCATCCCCGTCACCCGTGGGCAGCACAGGCCCCCGCAGCGCCCTGGGCACATGCCTCCCTGTGCCACTGGCACGGCTGGCATCGCCCGGCCACATGCCAGGGAGCTTTTTTAGCCTAAGCAAAATAAAACCACAGTGATTATATTTCCTGCCTCCCCGCTCAGGGTGGGAGGGAAATTGTTTGATGCTAATCCCCTTGTTTAATCCACTGGCAACCTGACATGCTAACAGTCAAGATTAACTCCCAGCAGGGAATCGTTAGACGTGCAGCCGTCGGCCGCAGGGACGGTGGAGCAGAGCCAGACCAGGACGTCCCTGCGCGCTCTGCGGGCTCCCACACACCCCCGGCAGCGGAGAAGAGGGGAGGTAGGAGCGGCGTGGAGAGAGGGCTTTTGGTTTTCAGGATCGAGTTCCTCCACGATGAGCAGTTTTCACCAGGCTGGAATTTCCCCTGGTACAGAAAGGGAGGCTCCAGCTGTCCCAGGAAAGGTCACCCCGGGGGCTGACGTGCTCCTGGGCTCTGGCAGAGATACCGTGCGACAGCGAGATTTTCAGATGTGCCTGGGAAGGAAAATTCAGCCCCCCATCGCCCTCGCCCACAGATGCCACGGACTCACCCTGCCGCTGCCCAAGGCCACACCCGCGCAGGGCCAGAGCCACAGGGCAGAACAGAGCCGCAGGGCAGGACAGAGCCGCAGGACAGAACAGAGGCGCAGGACAGGACAGAGGCGCAGGACAGGACAGAGGCGCAGGGCAGGACAGAGGTGCAGCGCAGGACAGAGGTGGAGCGCAGGACAGAGCCGCAGGACAGAGGTGCAGCGCAGGACAGAGGTGCAGGGCAGGACAGAGGTGCAGCGCAGGACAGAGGCGCAGGACCGAGCCGCAGGGCCGG